ATGGGGGAACGGCAGGTGGCATGGGGGTTAAGGCACTGGACCAACCACAGTTTGAGTCCTAGACCTGGCTGCTTGCTTTCTCACTTTCCCTCTCTCCCTCCCTCTCTCTCTTTGTCTCTGGTTAAATTAATGGAATAATAAATAAAAGGAAATAGTTCTTTAAAAAGAAGGGAATCATGGCAGGCCAGCAAGCAGCATGGAGGTTAAGGCGTTGGATCCCACATGGCCAGTTTTCCTGGTGGCTTAAGAATCATGATAGGCATGTGTACATACATGCCTAAAGTCCTGAGAGATGAGGAGAGAAGGGATTGTGGCATGGCCATCCCCCCCAGAGTGTGATTTCTCCCTCTCTCTTTCTTAAGAGTACATGTACCCTGTAGCAAAAACTAAAAAAAAAAAAAACAAAGAAACAAAAAAAAGGAATCATGGATTTATTATTTATTAGCAAAGCAAATTGGGAATAAACAGCTATAAAATATCTTATTTTAGGATCAAATAAGCTAACACATAAAATTTGTATGTAAATATTAGTTACTAGTATTAGAACATCCTTATATATATTAGGGTAAACTGCCTCCTAGACTTAATTTTTTAGAGACCTGAATGTTTAAACTAATTAATGCAAACTCTAGGATTAGTTCACTTAGTAGTGGGGAGGGGGAAAAGTATTTTAAGAAAACTACTAGTTATGATTAATTTTATTTACCTAATTTATGACTTAATAAATCTTTTAAATATAATCTTAACTTTCTTAAATAGTGGGATTACAAAATAAACAATGTTCTGTCAGTTCCATGAGCAGTGTGGTTCTAAATAGAATACCCACCTATTCTCATATATTACAACACAACATTGTTTCCAAATGAATTTGCTTTTAAAGCCTGTTCAGTATACTTACTGTAAGTCAGCTTAAAATGTTACTATGCTTTCCTGAATAATTATTTCTCTTTGACTCTTCTAATAATGTTACATATGTTAATTTTATCCATAAAACTTAATGAAAATATTTATTAGTCTGGTATCATTTTAATAAAATTTCTTGATATTATAAGGAGGAAAATTATAAGGAGAGGACAGAATGAGAATTGAAGGACTAAGCTCTAAATCTGAATGTGCCATTCTATAGGTGAACAAGTGATTTGTCCCTTAGGGCCTCATTCCCACCTTCTGGCAAAGGAAAAATCCAGTAGTAAGTTATCACTAAGACTCTTAAGATGATCTCTAAAGATGTCGGTGTATAAATTAACATGATTCTAAGTAATTTAAAAAATAAAGTTATCATAATTCTCTGAGAGGAAAAGCAATCAGTTTCTAAAATAGCCCTGTTATAATAATTTCTTTTCAGTGTCAGTGCTGAATGTTGTAGACCTTCTGAAATCATAGGTTAAGAAAAAAAAAAACTTTTGCTAATGGGACTGGTAGGTGGCAAGGTGGTTAAGATGCTGGACTCCCACATAGCCAACCAAGGTTCAATCCCAAACCTAGCAATTTGCTTTCTCTCTCCCTCTCCCTTTCCTTCTCTCTCTCTCTCTTGTTATATTAAAAAATAATAATTATAAAATAAAATAAAATAATTATTTTTTAAATTATGTGTAAGCTAAATACTGTCTGCATATTTAGAAAGACCTTCATAAGGGTAGAAATATGTCATAATCTCCCCCCAATATAGACTAGAATATTAAGATGTGTAAGGAAGCAGTAGTCTAGTATATGTCAAAAATATATTTCCTGTTTTATTTATTTTTTCTGTTTTACTCATTTGTTTTGGCCATATCATGTAAGAATTTCAGGTAGTTCAGACAGAAATTTGCTGGAGTGAGTGGGAGAGAAGTATGAAGGCAAAGATAAAAGTGCTTATTATACATGTGTCTTTTTAAAATAGTATCTTCTGCTCCAATGAGTTAATGAAATTATACTACAGGTGCTAAGAATGAGATTCTTGAACCAGTTTTTACCTATATGGCCTGTGCAAGTTGTTTATTCTCTTTTCTTCCTCAGTTTCATTATCTAATACTAGAAACAATACTAGAACCTACCTCATAGGATGAAATGACTTAATATTTACACTTGTATCTATTCTCAGATATACTGAATATTCAGATGTTAGCCATTTCCAATGTAGATGGTGATGGTTATGGTCACTACTTTACATTTATAATTAGGGGACTATTTGTACCCTAGAGAAATTGGTCACAAGGATTAGTGAACAGTTTCAGGCAACTGAGAATTTTCTGTAATAAACTGAGTACATTAATTCACAGCTTAAAATGAATTCAGTTCAGTTATCTTTTATTCCCATTTAAGGTGATCCAGTTATAATAAATAAAACATGCTTGTTTGCTTTTTATTCCTATATTTTAAATGCTCACAGGGTTGTTTCAGTGAAGAGCAGTTGAGAGCGTTGAATAATCATAGACAGATGTTGAATGATAAGAAACAAGCACAGATTCAGCTGGAATTCAGGAAGGCCATGGAATCCTCTGAACAAGGGATACAAGGTTTATCAAGGGATGTTACAGCTGTGTGGAAGTTACGTGTTACCAGCTATGGGCAAAAGGAAAAAGATTCAGGTCAGTATGCAAATGTTTTGTTTTTACAGTTTTGTTAAGTTAAAAAGGGTGTTATTAATAAAGTGATTACAGATGCTGGACAGAATATCAAGTTAGTATATATTAGAAGAGCAAAATGGGCTACCAGAGCCCACAAAGTGATAATATAATCCTTGGGTTTTTCTTGTTACCTGTATTTAAACAAAAATTTTAATGATTTATCAGCTCTTCAAGTCATTGTATCTTTTTCTTTCTTAAAACAGTTATATTAAGTATCTGGCGTCCATCTTCAGATTTGTGTTCCCTGTTAAC